GTCTTGGTGAGGTGGCGGTATTCGAGGAATGTGATTGAAAACGTACTGCGTGAGAGGTGAGGTGATGGGAGAACGGTGGTTGGCGAGCCTGTGAGTTGTGTGATATGGGAATGTGGTTGACACACTACATGTGAGGGGATGGTGCAGAGGGGATAACGTGAAGGTGGGAGATGAGGGGGGACATACGGTAGGTCGGGGCGGAGAGAGGAACAGTAACGGAGGGGGAGAGAGGGGGCTGGTACGTGATGGTGGGATTGGGGAGAGAGGGGGACACGTGTAGCGAGGTGAGAGAGGTGATCACGAGGAGAGGTGTGGACATAGAGGCTATGGCATGTTCAAGAGGTACAAAGCAATGAAGTGAGTATATCTCTTGAGAGGTGTGGACAGAGGTAATTATGAGACACTAGAGAATGTTAGAGGTTGGGTTCCAGTGGGTGGACCAGCACTGTCTTCACCCTCTGTTCTGTTGATGACCACGGGTAAGCCTATGACGATTTCGGAAAATCGCTCGCTAAAAATAAGGCTTATAATCCTCTAATCCTTTGTAAAGCGTCCATCCGCGAGCGAAATTACGCCGAGAAAGAGACGGCAAACAGGCTGAGAGAGTCCAATGAGCAAGCTATTTTTTGCTGACGAGGAAAATATTGGCTTGTAAACCTTTTTTTTTTTGGTTGAGTGTGTGTGGTTCGAATAAGCTCCTTCCCGTTTTCACTTAATCCGTTTTCTATTGCGGAGGTAGTAAATTAATCTCTTTAGTCTTTATTTTTATCTCTTTTTTAGTTACTAGACGTGCGTGTATGTGTGTTGTGCTCTCTCTCTCTCTCGTCTCTCTCTCTCTCTCTCTCTCTCTCTCTCTCTCTCTCTTCTCTCTCTCTCTCTCTCTCTCTCTCTCTTCTCAAGGATACTGTATTTCACCCATGTGTTTGTGTGCGCTCTCTCTCTCTCTTTCTTTCTCTCTCTCTCTCTCTCTCTCTTCTCTCTTCTCTTCAAAGATACTGTATTTTCACCCATTCTTGTAGAAAGAAAAAAATAAATCCCTTTTCTCTTCCATTCCCTCTCTTTATCGCAACGTCAAAGTGCCCGCCATTTTTGTCCTTTTGGGTCCAGAAAGATTCATACTTTGAGGAGCCTTCCATTTCTTTCTCTTCGGCTCTTCATGTCTTTTCTGTCGCTTGTTCTTGTGATAATTGTTCGTTAGAGAGAGATGGGGAGGAGGGAAGGAGAGACAGAGACAGAGGTAGGGAGAGAAATACAGAGATAAGAGAGATATAGATAGAGACAGAGATATAGAGAGATAAGAGAGATATAGATAGAGACAGAGATATAGAGAGATAAGAGAGATATAGATAGAGACAGAGATATAGAGAGATAAGAGATATATATATAGAGAGAGCAGAGCATATAGAGAGAAAGAGAGAGAAGAGAGACAGAACAGACAGACAAAGAGAGAACACAGACAGAGACAGGGAGAGAGGCGAGAGAGAGAAAGAAAGAGGAGAGGAGAGACAGACAAGAAGACAAGAGAGACACACAGACAGAGACAGAGGAGAAAAAGCGAGAGAGAGAAGAGAGAGAGACGAGACAAAGGAGGAGGAAGAGAGAGAGACGGCCATACCGCAGATTTCAAAACGCCCACCACATGCTGCTCACAAGTATTGGCGTATATACCATAGTAAAAAAAGAAAAAAATCTAATGTACTATTATGTTATAGAGCAAAATAGCCCATATACAAGAGAACAAATGGCTGAAAATGCGACTCTAAATTCGCTATCGACTAAAGCCACAACATGTTTTCCAATGAGAGAAAATATAGGTTAAATCTGTACTATAACTTCGCTTTGAATTATTATAACTGCCAGAGCGGTCATCGAGGTACTTGCTGAAGTACTTGTAAACCGGTTATTGATGTTTAAAGCCGTTAATCATAATCATAAACTTGCAGTAATGGTGTCTGCAAGAAGAGTAATGGAGATAATCTAAAAATGCAAGTTATTGGGGAAATGGTGACTAATATAACGATGATTATGATTATGAAGATTCATTAAATCCTAAATTAACATGAGGTATTCATAGCGAACTTAGGATAGTGACCCTCAAGCAAGTGTCAGAAGACGATATTTCCAAATTTCGGAACAAATGGAAACTTTCATGGTCGCTGGCAGCCCAACTTGTCCGAAACCTCGATGCGGCTTGGGTTTCGTCATGAAGTTGAACATTTGCTTGGAGAGAAAGAAATTAAGGACTGCAGAACGCCACGTGAATTATAGTATCTTGTACTCAATTTCTCTTTTAAGCAAACAATTAAATAACCGAGTTGGACATGTTTTACGAGAGAAATCTGTGATGGGCGAACCGTTTTGTAAACTTCGCTCCGATTGGTTGAAATTCAAGAGCAAGTGCAAACCACGCCCACAGATGATGACGTCACTGGTGAGTTGTTATTCTTATTATAGGATCTTAGGTACTTACATATGCGTGTACACATATTTATGCATAACA